AACTATTACTAGATGCACCTGCAGACGCATCTAGTTAAAAGTCCCTTTTCCAACTAGTAATCTAGATGGCAACTAGTCGTGTATCGCCCGATTACAGACGAAATGTATCTAGATTTTTCCCATAGGTACTATTTACTTGAGATCCTGACTCTTGTACTAAAAGATTTCTTAGAAAAACTATTCGTTTTCTTCCCACTTCTTTGTCCAATCCACGACAGAAAGAATTCTTCATTTAAAGACCCATCAGTAGGTAACTCTATCGCACAACTGTCATAAGAAGAAGGAAAGGGTTTTCTCTACTTCTCTCATCTACAAAAGAACCTTTCTGCTCTCAAATTTAGCCAAAAGTATAATGATAGTCTAACTGATGATATTTGATCTGTCTTAATTTCAACTCGTTCTTGTAAGCTCCCATTTTCTAGTTTTTATTTTTAATTAGTAAAGATATATATTTTCAAATTTCTTTGAGCATATGTACACTACCATCAGTTTCACGATGCTCTTTTGCCTTGAAATTCCATTAAAGCAATTAAAACACATAATTATCATCAAGTAATTATTGTTTTTCTTCTTCTCCTCATCCACGCAAGCACAGAATGAGAAATTATAGTTCACTGCGAATTCACTATAGATTCTTATGATATATATTAATTCGCTCAGATACCGACGTAGTTATCTACCTACCTTATCTAGGTATGCACCGGTATCGATATCCATACAGAAATACCGATACCGAAAATACTGACGTTTTTCGATTTGGACTTTTTTAAAGTTTTTCATCTGAAATGTTTAGCGTCATGGACAGCCAGAACACAAAAAGCACTCAGCTGTGTATTCTAAACATGTGTAGATAGAAAATAAAGAAAAACTGTGGCTTTAGAAAGCGAACAAAGCTCTTGTTTTGCATCCCTGATTCTTTCTGGGTGTCCAGCACGCTAAACTATCTCATTTCAGATGGAAAATTCAATAAAGTCAAATCGGTATTTTCGATATCGGCATACCGAATACCGGTGCATACCTTACTTTATCCTAACTACCTTTCGGTGTTTAATATCTCTTTCGACTGCGAATGATAAATAATTGTAAAGAGAATATCGAAATGTGCTTGAAATAAGAAATAGACTGATTGAAACCATTGATGAACTAACTGATTGAAGAGATGAAATTTTCAGTGATGTTAGTCGACCATTAGTTAAATTATAAGCAAAATGTTCAGGCTTTTCCTTTGTGTTTACCCCGAGATACGAAAAATTTTAAGTTTTTTCTGATTTACCTAGGGAAAGAATAACCTTCGTAACTTTTGAAGAAAGCAGCGACCGACCTCCGAAAAAATACACACTAGTGCACGAGAACAAAGCAAATTTTGTACAGACTTATAATAGTACGGTAGCATTGAAATTAGTCTCATACCTTCAAAACTTGATCAATTAGATGATTACATCAGATGGTATTGATGGAGATATCAAAACGGCTGCACAAGCATGAAAAATGTGTCGGGTATCGCCCGATGCAGATAGATGCATAGAAAAGAGAAAAAGTTAAATCGGGTGATCGGCTGATACATCTAGATAGAGTCGATTCACTTCTAGATGTAGCTATTTATGTATCTAGTAGCAATATTAACCCGATTCATCGGGCAATACATCGAGAGCTGAATCTAATTGTCTATCGACTCAGGATGAGACATGCGTGAAATTGCTCGATAAAGCGGCCGATACATCGAGGGATGTGTTCATTGATTCATCTACTTGAACACCGTTTTAATTCAATTCCATTCCATCCTGTCGTCAAAATCGGACGATGCGTCTAGTGTAAAGCGATTTTCAACTAGATACAAACAACTCATTACATTGCTTTTTGTCTCTAGCGATTCTCTTTTTTGAAGAGCTAGCTGAATCGTACACCTGATTGCTAGATGTATCTACTTCTTATTGCTTTCTATCAACCACAATTTCTTTGGGTATTGCATCGCATAATCGGCTCAAACCCGATGTATCTAGCTAGTCCGATCTGTTTTACTCTTTTATAGATAGTTTTGCTACAGAGTCCGACGATACTATAGCGAGTGTAACTAGACTTTTTCTTTTACGTTTTCCTGCTTGGGCTATTTGACCGATGTTATCCTAACATTTGAAATTCAGTGTCGTGTTAACCTACGGGGAATAATGTTGTATTTGTCTCCAAGAATGTACAATGAGATTTTTGTGGTATAGGATTATTGTGTTCGTGATGATCTGCTGCTAATAATTACTTCTTATCAACGTCTATATCTCTCCTGTCGATTTCTTAGACTAATGTTTCTCTGTTTAGTACTGCCAATACGTCAACATCTATCTAGTTTATATGAATTCGTTAAAAAGAAAATAAAACAATTTAATTTATTTACATCAAAACCTCCATCAACCGATGCACATGAAATAAAAAATCAAGTTTATGCAACACGTTTATTTATCATTACATTTACTGCTGCATTAACTGTTTTAGTGATTTATACATCACTCATTGCTATAACAGTAACAGTTACAGTCAAATCACCCACATTAGAACACTATTCAGAATTACAGGAAAAATATTCGCAAACTTTATTGTGTCCATGTACACAAATGTCCATTCCTTATGGTAAACTAATTCAACTGTCAGCAAGTTATCATCAGGTTTGTTCGAGTCAATTTACGACGGACGAATGGTTTCAATATATCAGTTATACACAAGTAAGTATAATTCATGATGATTTTCGTCGGCGAGGTTGCTATGGATTTGAAATGTTATCATCATTTTGTCAATTAACATCACAAACAATCAATGATGAATTGTTAAGATTTTATTCATTGATCTATACATCATCAACAATAACGCCTAACCGCACATTTCAGTTAGAAACCCAAGCATTAATTAAACAATTTCAGTCAACGACAACGAATTCTTTTCTACAATTATTACAATTAATACTCGATATAACACAATCAAATGGTTTAATATCTGGTTTAAATACAAATTACTATGTGGTTTACTGGGGTACGTTTAATACGTTTAATACTCTATATTTTCTTCGAGGTTATAATGCAGAGGACTGTTATTGTCAAGCAACATATAAATGTCAGGATTCATCATTTTTGGTGAGTGATAGCGATTATCGGGATGAAATACCTGGATTTATCGAAGGATGTTTTATTGTTTATTCACTATTACAATCAACATTAGAATGTTGGTATCAGCAAACTTGTTTTCAACAATTAATAAATGATCTAAATGTAACAACAGGAAGTAATTTTACAATACTTGATTCATCACAACCAAGTCTATATCAACCAACAACAACAATACAAGAAATTGTTAATAATTTGATGGTTGAACAATGGAATTCCAATGTATCATTTGAATTATATTATCAACGATGTCAACCAAGTGTATGTCACTATACATATGTTAAGAAATTTGATTATTTATATATAATAACAACAATATTGGGATTAGTTGGTGGTCTGAGTACAATTCTATCAACATTAATACCAAATTTAGTGAATTTAATAAGGAGAAAGAAGATACGAGCAACAAATAAAAACGGTAAGAAATAAAAAAGACTACGTCGCTTAAATTGTTTAAAATTCTTCCTATATCGACCGTGTCACATCCGTATCTTAAATACACGTAGAACTATAAATATAAGTTTTAACAATGTTTAACAACTTTTAGACCATTTTCGAGTATGGATTATCTCCAAATTGAAATATGCTGACTCTCACTTTTTGACTAAATGTCCGCATCCATGTCCAATGTGGGGGAAAGCCTTATGAACAGTGAACTATATCTTTAGAGATATTTCCACGAGCAGAAATTTAATAAACCAAAAAGATGCCGGTGAAGCACAATATTTTGCTTTATCAGTTTACGTTTTGCACATATTTTTGGACTTTTTTCACGGTTTTCCGTCTTTTTTCTGGGGATGTAGAGCAAATAAACAAAAATTCATTGCCTTTTTCTTCATTCTTTTCAATGCTTTCCGTTGTATGTGACGCTTTAGACTATCATATGATGATGTGATTCATGATCCTCACTAAGTATAAAAAAGTCTTCTTTTATAAATTGTAGTGACTCACATCTAAAAGCAAAAATTAACAAAATGATAACACTCTATGACTTTTAGTTAGGCAAAGCAAAAACTATGCGATGAGTCAACCTAAGTCCTCTTCAACTTTGAGAGTCGTCTTAGCGAAATGCTGAGAAAATCTAATTTTTTCGACTACAAATTCCCAATTAGATTAATGGATTTGTGCAAAATAAAATAAAGGATTGGTGCTACTTTAACTAGAGAAACAATGACTTTTATATCGCAGCAATCAGAGCACAATTAATCAAAACAAAGCTCAAAGTTCATTTCATAACTATGCAAACCTGGGAAGTCTTGATAAAAAGTTAACGAGGAGTAGCCAGCTATAGGAGTATTCAGAGCAAATGCAAGTGATGATATTGCTGTCATTTGATAGATTATACCTCACAGCGAAGGAGAATTATTCTGTTTTTGGTTAAGATTCCATTTAACGAATTCCAAAAGGGAAGATCTTCCAAAGAGCCAAATATACACTAACTGACGGAAGCAAGTCATTTCTTCTACGACTCCTCAGACCTTTGAAAGAATTCTTGTTCAATGTGGATTTTCTTACTATTACTTTGCTTGGAACTATTTTTTAACGAAATGGTGAGTCTCTATCGTTTTTCTTTGACAGTTATATCAATCCTTCAACGTCTACGGAATATATATACATTAATTAAAGAAAAAATCCACAAATTAAATTTATTTCAATCGTATGCATCAGCGGCTGAAAGTCATCGCTATTACGAAATTTTATCAACACGTTTATACTTAATAATATTAAGTCTATCTGTGATCATAATAGCTCTTTATACATCAGTAATTGATCGAACAAAAATAGTAACAATTAAATCACCAATAACATTCGATCAGTATACAACACTTTATCAACAACAGTCTCAAACATTAACATGTTCCTGTACAACGATATCAATTACATATGAAAAATTCATTCAATTATCACCAACATATCATCAGATATGTTCAAGTCAGTTTATCAGTGATGATTGGTACACATTTATAACTCTAACTCTAAGGATATATAATTTTTATCAGCATGAATATGCATATGATGATTTTCGCAAAAGAGGTAGTAGTTTCTTTCAAACGTTAAAAGCATTGTGTCAATCAACAAATAGAACGATTCAAGACAGTTTAGTTATTTTTAATTCCGCACAATTAGTTAATGCTAAATTAATACCACAACAATTATTTATGGCTCAAGCTAAATCCTACATTGATATTTTTATAGTAACAACAACAAATACGTATATGCGTTCGTTACAAATTATACATGACACAACACAATCAAATGCGTTATTAGCTTATGATTTAACTATTACTTATTCCTTAACATATCAAAGTGTTCAAATAACACCGGATACCTATTATAATGATATTAATCAATCCTGCTCATGTCGAAATATGGGTAGTTGTATACAACAGGCCAAACTATATGATTATTTATCAATATCTGAAATGAGCGTTACTGGAGTTTATATCGGTTGTTATAATTTAGGATCAGCATTGCGATCAACATTAGAATGTTTTTATAATCAAACATGTTTTACAAAACTAACTTTACTTTTAAATCCAGATGATCCTGGTAATTTTTCAGTTTTAAATTCTACTCAACCACGAAGTCAATATCAACCAACAACAACAATACAAGAAATTGTTAATAATTTAATGGTTGAACAATGGAATCCTCTGATTTTCTATCAGCCATATTTTGATCATTGTCAGCCAAGTGAGTGTCATTATACATACTTTCAAAAATTTGATTATTTATATACAATAACAACAATATTGGGATTAGTTGGTGGTCTGAGTACAATTCTATCAACATTAATACCATTTGTAATTATAATAGTACTACCTCGTATTTGGCGCTTGGTTAAAAAATTATATCAAAACCATAAAAGACAACAAAATCAAATTAAACCAACAACAACAACATCAACAACAATAGAAAATTACAATAATGTAAGTAGTTTTAATATCAAAAATTCTATGGAAGAAAAAGAGAGATTTCGAAAAAAAGAAATTAGGCTGTCAAGACGCTCGTTTGTTTGTGTACCGCTTCCAGTTCTGCAGTAAAGACGAGAATTGGTGGATGTTATCTTCCAAAATACACACTTGAATAGTTTCTGTCACTTTATTCATCACTAACTAATGATCCAAAGAACACAACTATTTATATATAAAATTCACATATAGTTGAACATACGAGAAACAGAAGGAAGAGAGTAATGATCTCAGTAGTACATGGCAGAACATGGCATAAGAAAGATAGAACAGAACATGATGGATGTAAGGATCAGGAAGGACAAAGAACAGTGACATGACGGACATATGATAACATGTGATATCACATTTCTAAACATATGACGTCCTTATGTCTTTTATGACATAACACTGTAACTTAATCTCCGTAAGTGAAGCAAAATTCGAATGGTAAACGAAAAAAATTATTGCAGAGCTGTATATGGGAAGAAAAAAGTATGTCAAAAGGAGGCTGTATTGCAGAGTTTACTAATGTGACTTTTAGTACTGTTTAATAAGACTGTGACGTTTTTCTTGGGAAGCTTCATCATCACGCTTTTCAATGAAGCATTATTCTGGGAGCCCCTTTTTTAATAGTTCATGACGCACTTTATGTTAGTTTACACTTCCTTTTTCGCACACTTTATCTATTAATCATAATCGTATAAAAAATGTGGAAAGTGCAACAATATTTATAAAACAGCGATAGAAGCACATCAGACATTTGATATTATTAGTTCATACAAACAATACTTGAACGACATCTCGCATATCGTAAGAAGAAACACTCAAGTCAAATATTTGAGCTTGAAAGGAAATCAAAACGAAACGAGTTTATCTTAATGTAAGATTTTTATAGGGAGAAAACTATTTACATCAGTGGAAAAACTAATTTATCTATATGCGAGTTTAACGAATATTCTCATGATTATAATTAGTCTGAGCACAAATTTAGTGTTGCTCTTCTGAAAAGGTTTTTCTAGTTTCCTAATTAGTGTCTCTAGTTTTCCTCTCCTAGATACTCAACAAGGAGCAGTATGCGACTGTTTCCTTCTGTGTCTGTGAGCGTTAAATGTGAATAAACAACCAGAAATCTTTAGACTTTTTTTACCATTTTGTGATCAAATTTATCAGTCTTTAAATTTACTATTTAGATCATCAAGTTTGATTCACGGAATGAAGATGAATATCAGACAGTTTTTATCGTAGTTAGACTTCAGATGCCGCTCTTTTTCACTTTTTAGTCGTTTGATAATGCAGTTAGCGAAAGGCGATTTATATATATTCTTTTTTAGAAATTTTGAGTTGAGAGGCTAAATACAGACGGAATTATGCGATATTTATTTTGACTGTGATGGCTAAGAATGACTATATTTATTTAAAACTTTTTGAATTTGTTTCCTACACGAGAGTTCAAGCAGTGTAAACCTACTACGATTGTAGAATTTAAAGTGCCCTTTAATTCGGTGGAACAACCATCCACTAATGTTATTTAGTTTTTGAGATATACAGTTTTTAAAATGTCGACTAAATCGGGATCGAGGTTTGACCGTAAAATCTTATCTATATAGTATATACCTAACATTGTGTAGGAATAGCTAGCGAATGTTATTATGGGTTTACATAAATAATTTAAGCCTTAACTTCCTCATTATCACCGAGTTATAAAAAAATAATAAACGAGGCTATCAAAAAAAGGGGTGAATATCCAGATCTGAGTAACTATCGGTCCGATAAAAATACTAAGTATTTTTTTCGTCATGTAGAAGCATCGAGAGGGCTCCGAAGTCGGATGGACGGAGGTTGCTCTATAAACTCTTGCAAGTCATCTATTACTGTTTCCTGCCGAAAAATTGAAATTCCTAACGACAAAATACTTTCTGAAGAAACCCGAGAATCATCCTTTTTTTTCACTGGATTAGAAAAGAGTAAAATTTTGCAACTGCGGTAGTTTCCTGAATCATAAAACGATTTTATTTGCAGGTTAATATCATCGGTGACAAATTGACAACGAATTCAGTGATGAAAAGGTAGAAAGATTCTTTGATTATTACTACAAATTAAAATATAAAACAATCTCATTTTTCTTTTCAAAGACAAAATACAACAACAGTTCCAAAGTGGAAAAAATATTTGATTTGTTCAATTACATGTTTAATAATACTTGCAGTTATTATTGTTTCAATTACCATATTTGTAATGAAGCAAGGTATAAATAATTAACAACAGTAGTAGCGTCTCGTACAATGCTTCTAATTGTAACAGCCAAGCTCTGAATTTTCTTAAATTTTTTATTCAGAAACATCAACATCCACGCAGACAACACAATCGACAATGATGATGACTACTTCTGGTACAGTCAGTGTAACAACTACGAAACAAAATTTGAATATAACGATGATAACAGCTACCACGTCAAGTATGTTATAAAAATTAGCAACAAAACGAAACTTTAAGAAAAGCTATAATTCGAAGCACAATATTAAAACAGCTAAGCGTAGAAAATCATTTTTCTTAATTTGGTGACAAAGTGGTTAGCCAGTACCACTTAACTTCAAACTGTTCTACTGTTAAGTAATAACCATCAAAAAACAAAGGCTTTTTTCTCTTCAGAATACATCTCCTCGTTAAAGATATGTATGCAGAAACCCCTTTTTTACAAAATGACTGGATAATATAACTTGATGTATTCTATTAAAAAGCTCGAAAAGAAAAACCTTTAAACAAAAGAGCGACAAGGCAAAACATTGGAAAGGAGCGAGAGTTAGGTTGAAGGATGTGTGTTAATGAGACGTAATTTGATTGAATAGAGTGCGACAATCTTTATTCTAAGATTAAAACGTTCGAATGCTGCTAAAAACATTGTATATCGTTTAATATAAGCACTCCTGCGAAAAATCGATCTAGTTTCAGTTTAAACCTCGAGTTATAGGTAAGAAAACGCGTAGAATTTCATGCACTTATCTACGTAATCTCAGTGAGCTTTCTAGAGAGTCTCCAGAAAATCTACGATAAAAAACGAGGTTTTATGATTGTATGCTACTACACCACAGCACGCAAGTGCAGTGGAACGATCTTGCGAGAATACGATAGCGTGGGCTAATTATTGTGCTCACTGTGATGCTTTTTGTTGTCCCTTGATTAACCTCTTCACAGCTATACCCTTTATTTGACCTTGCCGATGCGTTTATTTGTTATCACATGAACCGATATATAAAAATCAACCCACTACTCTACTATACTAACTATATATATATCTCTCACTCTATATCTATCTATATCTCGTGATGATGAGAGAGTGAGAGAACAGAACAGAGAAAAAGTGTTGTACTACGATAGAGAGAGAAGAAGAGAGAGAATGAGAACAAGAGAACACGGAGAATAATAGATCAGAGGAGAAGAGCGATGAGATTCACGGTAGCGGTCCTTGAAAACCGTCTCATATTGATATTCTGAATCAGCATGGTCGACTACCTATAGTCCACTAGGTTTCGGCTCGAAAGCAATCGGACAGTTGGGGACCTTCCTTCATAAGCTACGTAATACTACCATAAACTGACGTTTCTTTATCAAACAAAAGCTTGGAAAATGAGCTAAAATTTTATTTGACACTTGCTTTTATCTTCTTTCTTACAAACAACATGCTTGACCGAAGTATGATTAAAGTTGAGAAAGACAAGCAGCGTTTTGAACTAGATAATAGTCTAAAAGGTTATCCATTTGCCCATATCCAAGAACTAAACGAACAACTTCAAGAACTTGTTACCAGAACACATTTCAGAACATATCCCACGTATGTTTCGTACACAGTAAACTCGTTTTTGCATCAGTCAAAGGTGCCCATATGATTTATACTTCATGTGGCTATTACGTACTTTTCAGAACTAGTTAAACTAGTCTTGTCGTCTATGAGTTTTATAGTCTGATAATAAAAGAACAACAAAAGTTTGTTGACTATTGGTACCCGGTGACTATTGGTAGCCTTAAAGACGGATGGACTATGGGTAATCGACTATGCTGAGTCTTGTGGCAATATTTGTTTTAGAAAAAGTTTTAAAAATCTACCGAAAAGCGAGTTTACCCTAATTTAAACTCCTAATTTTCGTAAAACTCGCTTTTCGGTAGATTTTTAAAACTTTTTCTAAAACAAATATTGCCACAAGACTCAGCATAGTCGCGTACCCATAGTCCC